AGATGCTGGCTCTTACTTCATCTGCTTACAAGATTATCTATGCTTTTTGTTCCGTTTACCTACACTGAATTGAGGAAAAAGGCTTTTGTCCATTCTGCACCTTCTACATGGAATATACTGCAGACACTGGAAACTGAGTTGATTTCATCGAGGGCTTTTAAATCAAACTTGAAAGGACTTGAGGTCAACTTGAGAACTTGTACCTGTTGTTCTTAATTTGTTTCAATTGTTTGATTTTTAATGTTTCCCAATTTGATGTTTTCTTTTTGCTGCCATTTTTCTTGATCAGGTCGCCCTTGAAAAAGAGATTTTTAATCTAAATGGGACTTCCTTGGTGTCAAGTTAGGAGGAATAAGAGGTTGAGATCAAACCCACAAATAATATAAAATACTCAAGATTAGGGAGGTCCAATTATGCCTTGGAGGAGGCCTGGAAGGGCGATAAACCCTGGGATGAAGACATTGGTTAAATAAAAGTTGAATAAATAAAATACAAAATAATAAGCGGAACACCAGAGCCCTGTAAGCTGTGTTCCTACAAGGTTTCATGACTTATATGAATACCGGAAAGTCACAAAAACTCTATTTATGTCCAAACGGGTGTGTTTAATGTTTGCATCTTTATTTTTCTAGGGAGAATTATGCTCTTCTCTTCAAATGAAGACAACAGATAAACATAGGGTTGTACGATATTGGATTTTTAGCCGATATCCGATATATTAAAACTTATTTGGCCGATAACCGATACAGATATTTTTAGTATACTTTCCTTTGTCAGAACATAGCCCTCTTATTTAGGCTTATTTGCTACAAAAATTGTGCAACAGCTGTAAGAGCTGGTAACGTATTCAGTAACAGTCATATGCAAAGCACTTTGACGTATATTAAATGATAAGTATTAAATGTTATTTATTAGCATTAGTCACCTACGATGTTGTCTCACTTGTGGAGGCTTGTTCCAGGTTCCTAGCTGCAGTGTGGGATCCTCTGCGCTCTTGTGCATTAAGGACAGCCTTTTTAAGTTCAAAGTTTTTGTCTATCCATTGTGCTGCAAGACTAATCATGCTAATGGGGCTAACACGACGTCCAGATGTTTGTGGTAAAACTCACTCAAGTGTTATCAGCTGTTAGCTTCTCAATGACGTCAGAAATGACGGCTTGTAAAGCCCCCAGTATACTGCCACGTACATCCATATGCAGAGGTACGCACGTACGTACGCAGAGGTACGTGCGTACCTCCCAGCGTACCCTCCGTGCAAAGCTCAAATTTTTACGACCGCATACGCGTACGCGGTGTCGCACAATAAACTGCCTAGCGACGGACTGTTTTGTATACAACACCAATGTATTAAATTCTCCTTCTTCATCCCTGATCTGGCCTTTTCTTTTGTTTTTTTGCCAAGAGGCAGTGATCTCTTTCTCCTCCGTTGATGCCATGACTGAAATGGTGAGAAATGAAGGAATTTGTCACGAGCGAATTAAACTCAGGTCCAGCGTGGCTGCAGGAGGGTCTGGAGATTTCCTGGTGGGCTGGTCTGATGTGTGGGCTATAGAGCCAGCGCTCGTTGTTTTAAAAAAAAAATGTTTAGATCTTTTTATTAACAACATATAAACACAGAACACCGCTGCGGCTCAGGCTGCCAGCGCTCGCTTTTTTTTTCTTTTTTCCAACCTGTCAATCAATCCAGTAGGCGTGTCAGCAAATGACCAATCGGAGACCTCAATTTGTCCCGAAGGTAAACGCCCCTTGTCTGTGAAGCTGCTCTGCAGCTGCTCAGGGTGTACACTGGAGTATCATGTCTGAACCCTCTGCATACAGTACACGCGTACGTACGCGTGAACGGACATACGCGGCAGTATACTGGAGCCTTAACTCGGGTACGGTTACGTCAGAAAAAATATCTCCGACTGGGGACGATGTAGCGAGGCTCAACATACTGTAGTACAAAAATCTTCAGAATCCGACATCCTCACTAACGAAAAAAACCTTCCACACTGCCGACATTTTGAATTTTCCTCTCCGCCGTGACATCAGGTAGGCGCGCGTAATGTCATAATGTTGTGCTGCCACTGCAGGCATCCTTGTCACTGGGTTGTCATATAAAAACAGCGTCTTTTATATCGGTGAGTTATTTGATGGAATGGCCGATATTGAACTTTATCGCCAATATCGGCCAATGCCGATAACATGCCGATAATATTGTGCATCCATAGATAAAAACTTGTGTTAAAGTGAGCCATCTAAAATTATATTCTGTGTTCTTGGGTCTCTGCTGTTGGATCTTTTAGCCTTCAAACCCTCATCTTCTTCAGCTAATTAGTGCTCTGCAGATGTCGGTGTGATTATATATTTTTAAGAGCAGGCAATGATAATGGCTTCTCTTGAAAAAGGCACACTGCGCTGCACAGAGCGGCACAAGGAGGAGCGGTGGTAAAGTGTCTGAGCCACGTTAGTAAAGTTTTAAGAGGAATATAAATCCACCCGTTTCTGTTGTTGCCTGCACATCAAAATGTCCCGTTATTCTTCTGCCCCCAGAATGATTCACAGAACAACAATGACAGTAAACAGCTTTTCTTTAGATGTACATATTTCTCCTACATGATCCGCACGGTGCATCGGTAAAGGATGCAATCTACAACACAATGAAGCCGAAGGTTTAATTTTATTTTTACTGAAGAATCCCAAATGTCTTTCAGGCGCTGCACTGGAAATACAACTTTTTAAAAGAATTCCTTTGAAGAAACCCCAAAACTCAATTCTCTTTCTTTTTAGAAGCAGCATCTCTGGAAACTCTCAGCTCTCCAGGTGCACACATTTCAGCTCAACTGTGTATTCTTCGACTTTATGATAAATACAATTATTTAGAGGACAAAAACAAAAAAACAAAAACTGCACCAAAAAAGGAGCTTTTTGGTGCATCTGACACATGTCCAAATCTATCAAATAAACCTTTGATTCATGAAATCTTGGCAATCTACAAAAACTCAATTCAACAAATGATTCCACAATAAAGACGGTGATCTTTAATTCATGGTGTGAAGATAATGTGTCTGTGAGCTTAGAGGGCATTTAAAGCTAATTTCTTGATTAAGATCTTCAGTTTAAAAACACGTCCTTCAACCTAAATGTTCTGCAGTAGCTTAGTATTTGACCCCTTTCTCCACTCTGTCATGTTTTCATCTCACATCCTGACAGCTGCAACTGTCAATCACCCAATTCCAAAAAACCTTTATCCTTCCTAAATATTTTTTAAGTAAATAACCAAACTACAACCAACCACTCGTTTATCATAAATGACCTTTGATAGTTTTTTTTTTTCTTTTGTTTTATTAATTTAAGTAGTAAGTAAGAAAGTAATTTTTGGAATCCATCAAAAAAGTGAAACTACTTCAAGACACTAAACACCAACAAATTTAAATGTTTTCATTTAGTTTTATACTCGGTTGACTTTGTGCATGTGTTTATAACATTTACTCAGAAAAATGTTACAGGGTATCTGCAGGTTTCAGCAAGTCAAATTTAAGACTTTTTAAGACCTTTTTAATACCCTCTTGAATGAAATTTAAGACCATAAAAACTCTATAAATATAGGTAATGGTTGGAGAAATCCTGCAATAAAATAAGTTCAGGTTTAGTTTTTGTCTGTTTATTGAACATAAAGTGATATTCAGTGCTCTCTGGTTCAATAGTTGTATGAACAAGTGCAGTTATTTAGTTGGAAACATCCAACAGAAACAGACATTTACTGAATACATTCATGGCATGAGGCTCAATTGTGTCTTAATTTCCAGTTTTGCCTTCAAACACAAAGACGTTGTCCAGCCAACTGTCCATACATTTGCACCAACACATGATTTAGTCGCAGATTAGCTAGCTAGCAAGCATACATATCAGCCGCTAGTAGAAAGTAGCCTCAGTCGCCTCGAGTCACAGTTGGTTTGAGCCATAGACTATAAAAGAAAACGCAAGTTCAGAAAGCACGGAAGAAGTCTACGTGCGACTCATTGTAAAACTTTTGTCTGACAGAAAAGTCCCGCAGGATGAATACATTTCATTTTTTTTAATCCTTCTCCTCATTTTTAAAGATGACAAAAAGCCATTGTGATGACAGAGAGCATTAATCCCTCCTGACCCGACACATTTTAAGATCTTTGAGTAACACATTTAAAATCAACGGACGCATTTTTTAAAATAATTTAAATCATTAAATTTTAAGACAATGAAATTAAGACAAATTTAAGACAGGCCTTGATTTTAGATTTAAGATGTTTTAGGATGTGTGGACACCCTGTGTTAGGTTTAGTTCAGGTAGTCTGATTTCATCTAAGGGTTGAAGAATTGGAAAATGTTAAAAAGTTGCAATAGAGAAAAAAAAAAAAAACAATACCAGTATATACTTTGATGGGGAAATATTGGTGAAATATAGAAAATCTCTAAAAGTATTGCATCAGATCACTCAAGACATGGAATATGTAAAACATGTCACATCTCAAGTTGATCTAACTTGACACGACAAACATTTATTTCTCTTTGTTCAGAAAATTGTCCAAGTCTCGTGGAATTTCCAAAGTGCACAAAACTATGAAAAACACTGCACCCAGAGCATCAAAACCATTTAAATACAAGATATTTTGCTTATATTAAATCTGTTTTAGTTCAAACACTGTGTCAAAGGTGTATACAGTTGTAAAACACAACCATTTTGACCATTTCACAAGAGAAAATAACAACCACTACTGGCATAAACCATAAAAAGTAAATTGACCTGACAGAAACATCCCATAGTGCTTTAATATTACACTTATCTGGAGGGCAGTTTTCAGCGTTAGTTCTCTTTAATCCAAGTAAAACGTGTGTAGTGGCTTCAATATTGTTGAAACATTGTGCATCAGCTCTGATTTGATTTAGAGAGCAGCTCCAACAGACAGCTCTACAAAGAGTCTGATTAAATACCAAAGAGCAGTGATAAAATCTGTGGAAAATGACCAGAAATGACTCACATGCTTCCTGTGGCTGAGCTGCTGTCAGTGGGCAGAGATCCGTTGGAGCGCTCCATCTGAGCCAACCTGAGAAATAAAGAACGGGTTAAAGCCCGACACTTGAAGGCCTCATTAAGATGCACAACACAATGAGGACATCAACATGAAGGTAGGGCGCCAATTAAAATTAAAACGTGGAATTAAATCTGCAGGCCCGTCAAATGACAACCAACCACAGCAGTTAGAAGAAATAAAAAGATTAATCTAAGTTGGTGCAGTCTAGGTTCAATATATCCTCTCACAAACACCTGAGAGTGTGTGGACAAGTATGTACCGTGGAGATGTGTTAACTATGTAGCTGAGCTGTTTCCCTGAGCGTGTCCACTAAATCCTGCAGTACAGAAAGAGCAGGACTGTCCAACACATTAAGAAATGTATAATTAATTATGAAATTGAGCTCTGACCGAATGTGACTGGAGGGAGAAGTTAAAATTCTCAAAACTCTGCGGTACGTGTGAGCTGCGGTGTAATGTCATTTAACTTGTTATTCCCTCGGCTCGCGTGTGTCTTTGTTAATGACACACTGAAGACGGAGACACTAAGCGAAGGTTAATGGTGCGCGACCAATTAGAAATTACGGGCCAGATAAAACGGCGCTGCATCACATGAACCGTTATGATTAAAGCTCTGCGCACAGTCAGATTTCGACACGGATACTTCTCGTTCGCTTTTAAGATTAAAAGATTTGATTGGACGTTTATCCACGGGGAAAGAAAGGACTGATGAAAAGTTTCTCATTTGCCTAAATATATATCTCGGACATTACAGGGCGTTAATGTTGGTGCAGCAGAACAGTGTTGTTTGTGGCGTTCTGCAGCTCGCACGCTGCGAACACAGATGTGGCGGCGGATATGGCGAGCTCTTTTGAAGCGGGCAGCTGAAAGCGGTTATCAGACCGATCTGCTGCGACTGTGATCACAGCCGAAAACCCGGAACGTCATCAGCCGAAGGGGCGACTGGCTTCAGAGGACTCTGACAGTCATCTGACGTTTAGTGTATGCAAACAGGAAATAATGAGCTGATCTTCCAAAGGACTGTTTATGGCTGCTGGTGGTCTAAAAAGTTGCTAATGGCACGTCATTTGTGCAGTGTAACCATGTTTATTTATAATATGTGGATAAATGTTACTGAAAATATTAGATACGCATTTATTCACACTTTAGGCTGCTTCTTATAAATATTTAAAATTTAATTTGCAGCAGATTTATGGATTGAGGGATGCCCAATCGGCCAAACTGATTTTCTAAAACTCAAACTAGGAATTAAAAAGAAATGACCCAAACAGGTTAGAAATCAACAAGATGAGCTAAAGATGTATAGACCGGCTCATCGTTTAAGATTTACTGATGAGAAATCTCTACAGTTTATAGAGAGGGACACAAAAAAAGCACAAGTTAACGCTGAAGGAGATGAGGTGCTCGTTGTCACCTCTGTGAGTTAAGAACGGCAAGCGGAGGCTCGAAGAACAAAAACTCACCAAAACCGGAACTTCAGTCTAGATCTATTAGAAATAATTACAAGAACGCAAACTTTCCAAACCATCAATACAAGTTTTGAATCACCTAGTTGAATTTTTCAACCATTTTATTTTTTATTTAATCTACACTTCAATTTATTAACATTTGAATATTTGATCTATCTTTTGTAATATCCGGTCCAGAACATAAAATATATATATATATATATATATATATATATAATGATGTATTTAAATTACAAACAAAGTTGGAATGCAACCAGAGTTTTTTAAATGCTGCATGATTTTTTTTTAATTGGCTGCAATTGAGAGAAAAGCAGTTTTTCCTCCAATGATGATGAGAATTTTGTTTTACTGTTATGTGCAACATTAAGAGTTGTTTGTGCAAATGTATGCAAAGATTTGACTACTTGTTACCAACATTTCTCTAAATGAACAAAAGTTGATCTATTTCTAAAAAAACATTAAAGTGGTTAGAAGCTACTTTTTTGTATTTTAAGTAAAGTTACTCATGAAGCTTAATAAAATATATATCACTAACCTGTAGCTTAAATTTTTTTTTATTTGAATGTCAATACACAGGTAATCTACTTTATCATTAGGAACCTAAAAAAGTTCAGTCAGGTCCTCTGGATGGATTCTTCTAATTGAAACGTTAAATTTTTTATCCAAAATACTTGGTCAGTCTGAAGAGCTGCAATAAACTCAGTTTTATAAGCAGCACCTTCTCATAGTGGATCTTTTGCTGGCGACAGCCAAAATTAGTTGTTCACATGTAAAAGGAGGACCATCAGCCTAACGACCGATCGTTAGTGCCCTGATGGCTGCTTGCTATTCACAGAGGGCTGAGTGACACTAGCAATAACTGCATAAGAGGACAGTTGGACACGGAGGTCTCCACCCCGTTTAATGATGGACGGTTTCTCTTTACAAAGATGGCTTCCTTCACTCCTCTCAAATTACTGAGATGTGAGATTATCAGATTATTGAGCATGCATCAGGATATCATTAGGAACCTTTATTGAGTAAAGTAGGCTACACTAACAACTGTTTTGAGTTTTTAATGATTGACTTTAAGCCTTTTGGAGTTTGGTTTCTTGTTTTCAGACTTTTCACAAACAGGATAGTCGTGACATCGTGTGTGTTCATGCATCAGAGCTGATGAGATGGCGGCAGGAGACTGCAGTGCGTACCTGCTGGCATACTGCTCTATCCTGGAGTGGGTGTCATCATGAGAGGTCTGAGGTGTCTGGGACAGCCTGGAAATGAATGGGGTAATGGAGATGAATGAGATTTGGTGCCATTAAAAAACACAGACGCTCATGCAATCGTTCAGACACCACCCTACAGCCCCTCGGAGCTTCACCGAGAAACAAATAAGCTGATCCTAAAGAGAGAAATATGGGGGTGAGATAAGCTACAAAGCAGCTGGATGGTTTTGGACGGGCCGACTGGGACTAGTTAATAAGAAGGTGATCGCAAGTTCAACCAGTGGATCAGGCAGACATGCAACATGCATTGCGGTTGTGATCTAGTTGGTAAGGGGGGTGGGGGGTGAGATGAGTGAGGTGTCGACTGAACACATTCCCCTCTGGAGACGAGGTGTAGTTGCTGTTGGTACTGATACTCACTCGTACTCCTCCGGACACATGCTGATGAGGGTGACGGGACTGGAAGAGAATTGGAAGGAGGGAGGGGAAGTAAAAGTACCATAAAAATTCATTTTAGGATCAAAAATCACTTAGTGGGTCTGAGACAGAAAGCACAACAGATGAGAGGAAGAGGAGAAGGGAAAAAAATCTGTTCAGTCGCTGAGCAGCTGCACTCGACAAATGAGGAAGATTGTAATCTGATCACTGAGATGAAGGTACCGTTTATATAAATCACAGGGCTGCGACATTATCGAAACTCTGCTTCAGAAAAGAGGATAAATTATGCGAAACGGTCAAAAACAAGGAAATTACTAAACAAAAATACTTTAAATGTACTATGCAAAAGTCTCCAGTTATCTCTCATTTCTTTAAATTTTGCACCAAGCAGACAGACATTATGGTCATCTTTAAAAGTGGTTTTGATAAAAGTTTCTTCGAATTTCTTTAAAAAAATTGGCTACCTTTCCTCTTAATTTCTCATTACGATCACTAAAACATTAAATATTTTTAAATATTTTTATGCCAGTTAAAGTTGACTAATGAATCATTTAGGCATAAATAGGCTCCAAAATTGAAAGCACAAGCTTATGTGAAGTATAAAATAACCCAGTTAAAAATTAATTTAAATGAGCAGCCTCTTATAAACACAATTTATTTAAATTTCTTTAGTAGAATCTACAGGAAAATCCAAAAATACGAGTTTGACGCATAAATTACGATGTCGACACCAAGAGAGTGATATCCAAGATACAAAATACACAGATTGGTGTAGTTTGTGGTGTATTTGTTAAATGTTTTCAGCTAATAGACGTTTAAGAATCACCTTGTTATTGCTAAAATACCATATGTGTAACTGGTATCTTTGTGCATTTGTCTCATAATTTTATAAAGTGCCTAAAGACCCAATTTATCATTAGTTTTTTATTTTACAAAGTTGTGTTATGCATTTCAATGCTAGACTCAATAAGAAACTGATTTTCTTCAGTTATGAGCAATATTGTACATGTGAGAATTTTAATGTGTGAAAATGAGGTTTTAAGGTTAGCTCATGAATTTTAACAAGTGTAAAGTCTCTAGTTTTCAATATGTGATAATTGCTGCTATTTTCATACACGGAGATGATCTTTTAGTCAAACAAAAAACGTGCTGATTCAGTGGTCAGTAACATGGACAGGCGAGTGTTTCTTTCTAAAACCTTGTTAAAGCTGTGAAATTCTGACAAATACAAAACATGGTGGTTTCGTTTACTGCAGATTAGCAGCCATTTGAGTGTATGCAAGAAGTTTTCAGGGTGTGGACGAAAAATCCGATGAACCAGGAGGAAAAAGGTGAATTTTAAAAAAAAACTTTTTTGCTCTAATGCAGAGTCGGTGTGCAAACTATAAAATCTTAGTAGGACCAAGTTGCTTTTGCTCAGACTTGTCTGAAATATATTCTGTGACAGTTTCCACCTCGACATGGAAGAAGCAGCTTGCATAGCAGATGTTATAGACGTTGCTGTATGATGAGTGACAAACAGAACTCCTGTATGTTCACACATAGTGAGCTAAATATCTACTCGGCGTGACTTATAAACAAAGTTCATAAGGAAAAAGGTAAAAATAAAAATTAGCCTTGTTCATAGAATTCAAATTCAAAAATACTTTATTAATCTCTAAGGGAAATTAAATGTTGTTGTAACTTGTTATCCTTGTTTCATTAAGAGATGTTATAGATGCGATGGCTGTAGACAGGAAGGATCTCTTGTAAATGTCCGTCCCACAGTGGACCCGAAGAAACTGGCTGCAGACGGCTCAGTGGTTAGCACTGTTGCCTTACAGCAAGAAGGTCCTGGGTTCAATCCCCGGTTGTATCTGGGGTTTTTCTGTGTGGAGTTTGCATGTTCTTCTCGTGCTTGTGTGGGTTTTCTCCAAGTGCTCCGGTTTCCTCCCATAGATCAAAAACATGCATGTTAGGCTGCCTTCAGGCCCAAGCCTCCCTTGCAAAAGAGATCAGTGATCTCAATGGGATTGGCCTGGTTAAATAAAGGTTGATAAATAAATAATAAATAGATGCCCTCCAATCCATCCACCCAGACTCGGGTGGCATCTCGGCTCCTCTGAATGCCGGGCTGAAGTCCTCCCAGAGCGATGGCCACTTCTCCCAGCAACCTGCCGAGATCCTTGTCATTGCGGACAGCTGGCTGGGATGATTCCGGTCTTTCTGCTTCTGTCACAAACCACATTTCCTGCTATTACCAGGATCTCATTGGTCAGGCACCCGAGCATAGCCGGCAGAGAAACGGGAATGCATCCACGGCGCCTCCTTTTCAACTTATTTGAGATTTGGGGCTGTAGCTGAGATCTTATTTGAGCTTTTGAGATGCTAATCAGCGGCTCCCAGCTGCAAAAAAACCCCCTCCACTTTGTTGCCATGGTTACGCATTATAAATGTCCAAAACTAAAATAAAGTTGCAGTAAAAATCCTTCCAGCTGCACAGCATCCAATACCAGAGGAAACAATCATCCCCCAAAAAATTAACGTCCATAATGGAAGTAAAGTTTCCAAAAGGAAAATCTCAGAATGAATGAATGTAACAGAGCTACTCCAACGTGGCCACCTCGAGCGGCACACTTCTAGAATAAACTAATCCCAATTCAGAATAAGGTAGAATGATATCCTGATGCATGCTCAAGGTAGAATGATGCATTCAAACACGGCGCCAAAAGAAAAAATGGCAATATTTACAAAATATTTGTAACCTGTTCAGAGGGGCACGAAGGTGCTTGTTTAAACGACACTATAACACTGAGATGTTGGTTTGCTCCTTCTTGTTGTACTTTGGACAATGTGGAACTGCTGACTGAGGAAAAACTGAACAAACTGCCTAAAGAGCCCATGTCTCTCGTCATCACTCTGTGGATTTGTCAAAATACGCAGCGTGTGCGTTACCCTGTTCTCATGGTTTTCCTTCCTCTGTGACTGCCTTGAAAAGTTTCTGAAAATCAATTCGGTCCATCGTGCTGCGGTAGTCACTTTGTTACAGTTAGCAGTTTTTTTCCTGCTCTCGCTGGTCCCTGGTTTGTTTCTTCTTCCAGTTACCTATAAAAAAAACAACAGCAAACGCTGCCAATTTAAGAGAAACGACTGGGAACGAAAAAAGAAATATCCGAGACCGAATGATCTCATACACATCATTGTCCGTCATGTATGCGTCTGAATGGAGACGTTTTAAGAATTTGTGTTTAAAAAAATAAATAAATAAAAGTATTCTTCAAATGATTGCAAATCAGTTTTAAACCTTAAATTTAGATAATCATTTCCTGAAAAATGACTGTTATTAATTTGTTTTGGTCGATTTTTTTAAAATAAGGTTACGATCCTGTGCGATCTGTTGGCACTCAGAGCACGTGCTGTGAAGGACTCTCAGCTACTACCACTTCAAGTTTCAGCTGTAAAATTAACTGAGATAGAGGGATTGCCAGTCAAGTTTACTCAATCAGTTAGACGGCCGTGCAGTGGTTACGTTCTGTAAGTGTCAGATATTTTGCTAACAAATGCACGCACATGCACTCAGACAAAAATCCATTTTAACTGATGATAATAAAAATGTAACAAAACAACCCCATAAGTTTTATGTAGTTATTAACAAAAATCTTCTTTCTCTTAGACCAGAGAAAATAGATAATAAATTAAAGAACAAATTTTAATAGATTACTTTAGTAACATCTATAAACAGATTAATTAAAATATCTTTATGCTGTGAAGACGTTATTTTGAACAGTTGAAAATTATATTTTGATTCGTCACGTTGTTCAATATCAATCTGTGAAAACAGTCTGATTATCCAGATCTAAAGTCCACTCAATGTATTAGTAACATTTCAATGTAAAAATGCTAAAAAGTTTAGTTGAAATGCACAGATTTGAGCTGCACTCTGGCTCCAGTTGCTTCGCAGGACACACGCAATGCCAAGTTTATCTTGCCTTCCAAGACGGGAACATTTTAGGTCTGGATTTTTATTTCTGAACAAACAAAAACAAAAAATATACCAACAACAAGATTTCACCGGCAGCTGTCACAGCCATGATCAGGCTCATTAACGTCTGTGCAAAGCCTAATGGAGCGCGAACACCTATCCTCCATCTGTTCATGAAGGCCGAGAAGCAAAAACCAGAATTGAGTGGAGAAATATTAGAGTGGTTCTTTCAAATGATCAAATGTGGCTGTGACAAAAAAAACCAAACCATCCTGTGTGGTGTGACATGAAGCAAAAACAGAAGTGGGAGGCGGGAGTAGGTGGTGTTTTGCTCTCTGTCAAGAAGAAATACAAGAGTGGGTGGAATATATAAAAAAGAAGAAAAGAAATGACGTTAGAAGAATGGAGAGGAGGCCTTACATTAACTTGTTAGAGATGGCAATTATTCAGAAAAGGAATCTAGTTTTCTTTTCTGATGCGACAAATATAAAGACTTCAGGTTCTAAGAAAAGTCTGACTTTGAATTAGAAAGGTTTGGAGTAAAATAATGAAAAGCATAAACTCTATTTGTTCAACAGGTAAACACAGCAAGAGAAAGAAAAGACCAATTTTGTTTTTTGTTGTTGTTATGATTCGTTTTGAACTGACCCCACCCGGGAGGGATGCTGAATGTTTCCCCACTCGATTGGACCGTTTTCGCCCTGAGGGGGTGTTGCCGCCACATGCATATGGCATCCATACATGCAAGGGAGTTATAGATAATGTGAAAAACACCAATGAACAGAGGGGAACTGTCAGGTGATATTTATTAACAATTTCTGGATGTTTATCACTGCTAACCAAATTAACGTTGAACTATGTGTGCGAGTTCAGAGAGGAGCCTGCAGGCACCTGATGACTCCAAGGACGGTCTGTGAGCCGAGGAGCCAAGGGCGTCACGACCTTTAGTGCTGATAAGCGTGTATAAAAACACTTCCTGTACAATGCCCGTTGCAGATCGTCATGACCGGGGCTCCAGTAAAACTTCTGTGTAAGCCTGTGGTGAACTCTGCCCTTGAAGTAAACTGGGTTGAAAAAAATCTTGTCATCGTGCGTGTCTCTTTATAATGCAAAGATATTTTTATTGAACAAACAGCATGTCTATATGCCTTTGGTGAATTTAAGGACATCACACTATTAAAAAAAAAAAAAGAGTACTAACATCATGTTTGAGTAGAATAATTAAAACAGTAACTTAAAAGTATTATTTGATTAATAAACACGAGTGAGGAAAATCAATTTCAGTCAAGTGCTCTCGTTATTTTCATTGAAAAAACTGTTGAAGAGTCCAAGACGGGACAAAAATGTGAATAAAATAACAATGAGAATTGCCTAACGCTAATGTATTCGATCAATGTAAAAAAAAAAACCTTCTTCAGAGTGTCCAGAAGCCTTTAGAGACACACAAATAGCTCACAGTTAGAGGAGAGACCTGATCCAGCACAAGAGGCAGGAAATGACAGTTAACTAGCAGTAAATTTCACAGAGTCTTCCTTCCCCTCAGCTATATTTTGACAAGATCTCTCACACCAATTCTTCTAGCCTTTGGAGACATTTATCAGGAAGGCAGCTCTGCAGGAGCCATTTTTCAGAGTGGAGTGGAGGTGAGAATGGAGAGAGGTGGAAGGTGAGGAGGAGGATGGATGAGGAAGGTAAAATGTAAGTGGCAGTGAAGTACAGCTGAGCAGTGTCGGTGTGAGCAACTTCAAGCTGGATGACAGCGTTGGGAAATGAACAGGTGTTTAAACCGATACAAAACTACAAAGTATTTTAAAGAAACCAGGAAAGAGTGAGGAGGGGTAAACATGTGATGGCATATTCAACACAAACTAATGAAAGAGGGAAAAAGCGTCAAAAAAGTGTTTCATTACGTAGCGGAAATGCAAAACTGAAATAACATTTTGGAGTTTTACAGCATACATCATAATAGACAACCTTTTCTAGAAATCTGCAGCTTAGATATAATCTTTTAAAAAATGGGGAGCTTTGTTGGGGCTTCGATAACTAGCAGCTAAAATGACTGAAGTTAGAGTCAATGTGGGCGCTGCTACCAATATTTTTGTTTAACTTTGAGTTGAGTCATTTGCTTACTGAACTGTAAAAACTAGTACAACCAGTATTATAGCAGCTTCAAGATCAGTTCACAGCTATTCTTATATTTGCAAATAATAGAGCTGATATTTCTTTCCACATGTGTTGTTACATCTGCATGTTGATTTTAACTACTGTTTTGATCATCACTACAACACAGGCTTTTACTTTTTTTTTTTTATTTAAGCACACATTTGTTATTTAAAATAAATGTAAAACGGTTGGACAAAAAAACAATTTTTGTCTTGGAAAAAGTGAAACTGAGTCAATGTACAGCGATCAATGAACAGGAGCGTCTTAATCTGTAACACGACTGAAACGGATGGTTCGGATGTTTTGTTGAAGCGGGGTTTGTAAATGTGTTACGAACAATTATTATCTTACATGTTGTAGATGTTCTTTGAACAACCTCAGTGTGAAGAAACAGAGTTAAACTTTGACAGGACTAATGAGCTACACAGTTAGTCTGACAGAAATATGAGACTGCTGCCCACGTGCCTCCGGCTGCACCAGAAGCTTGACCATTAAATTACATGTAAACATAGAAATACTGCCACCACTAATGACGTTAAACTTAAAACTAGACAGAAGCTAAAATCAGCAAAACTGTAGTTTAAAGCTAAAATGAACAAATAGTAGCTAAAACCAAAAATTCAAACGAAGCTAAAAGAAGCTAAAATTAGCTGAATCTTATCAAAATGCTAAATTTATCTGAACCACAGCTAAAAACTAAAATGAGCTAAACGGTTGCTTATAATGGATTTCAGCTAAATGTAGCTAAAACTGGAATTATCAAAACCGCATCTTGAAACTAAACAGCAAAATCATTCCTAAAAGCTAAAATTAATAAGACAGCAGCTATAAATAAAAATAGCATATACAGTAGTCTCTTGTTTATCGCAGGGGATCCGTACTCTGAAGCCCCGCAATAAGTGAAAAACCGCAAAGTAGGAATAGTAGTACAAGTAAAAGTAG